TCTCTTTCTTTCTCTTTCTTTCTCTCTTTCTTTCTTTCTCTTTCTTTCTCTTTCTTTCTCTCTTTCTTTCTTTCTCTTTTTCCTTCCTTCCTTTCTTTTTTCTTCCTCCCTCCCTCCCTGCCTTCCCCCTTTCCTCCTTTCTTCCCTCCCTCCCTTCTTTTCTCCTTTCTTTCCTTTCTTTTCTTTTTTTCTTTCATTCCCTCTTTTTATCCAAGATTTCTCATGATAGTTTTGTATTTCTTTTGCTTCCTTGTTTTCCACTCTTCTGGAATTCCAGTACAAGATAATCCTATGCACAGAAGGAAAACAAAAGTAAGACTGTACATGATCTTGCTTTTGCAGATGCTACACTGTGAACTGTGAAAGGTCTATGTAAACTTCAGAATTGCCACACTATCCAGCTGCTAACAGAAAGAAAATTAAGCAGCAATCTGTAGTTTATAGGCCTATCCTCTCACTTTATGATTTTGGAGAATGCAAAAAATCCACATAAATGTCATTCATGTTTGACCTCTTCTTACATAAATGAGTGGCATAATAAAGAAATCTTCAAGATATCCTACTTTAGATTGTACCCATGGGAAAGGGCTCTTCTTTTTGCCAGTTCACTAAGACTTGCCTCATAACTGTCAGATCTTTGTGCTATAACACATACATTGTAGCTGAAAACAAGACACAAAATAAATAATTCAGGGTATTTCATGAGCTGATTTAATCACATAAGTGCCTTACTCAGTAACTGTTCTTATAGCTGTCTGTGTGGGTAAGTATTTCCTGTCAAACTCAGACTTGTAATTTCACGTTTCAAGTGAAAAGAGCATGGATTTTGATCTGAATTTGGAAACCTTCATACTTGTGTCTGGCTATCAAACTCCTCCTCACGTAATAATAAATTATTTGAAAGTATATAAAATACTTTAATAATTAAGGGCAAAACAGAGTACCATAATGTATCTAAACATTTTTCATTTTAAAGAACTATTCACAATTCTGTTAATAGCTATAGCAATTCTGGCAGAGATATCAATCATATTAAAAACCCCCCAATAATTAACTAGACAAATTATATCAGCAAATTAAGACCCTTTACAGTTTTGACAAAGAAAACTGTGGCTAGTGAAATTAGATAGAGGATCAATCACTGAATGTAGTGGGCTTGGCAGAAGGGAGTCAGAGAAAACTCATGAATCTGGGAATATGTGCCTGAGAACATGGACGGGCTTAGTAAATGAGAACCCATGCCTGCTTGGGATGAAGAGGTAAGAAATTCCCCCTTGGCTCCCATTCCCAGAAGAAAGAGGATTTCTAGTACTAGAAATCTTTGTCATAGTGTTTCGGCATAGAGGCTGCAGGAGTTGATGTTAAAGGAAAGAAGATGTGTGAGAAATTAGCTTTTTTGTACAAGGTCAACATCAACTCTATGCCAGAAGGGAAAAGGGCTGAGAAGGTTGGTGCAGAGAGTAAGCAAGGAATCAGGGAACCTGCATGCTGGACAAGAAAGAGAGCACTTCAGCATCCTTGTGCCTGCTTGGGAGAGGTTGTCATTCCCAAGACTGCATTTGGTCATTCATTAAAGGAAACAGCCAAATTCCCATTTAATTTACTAAGAGCAAGTTTTAATATATTACCTTTGCCTTTAGCTTTTTGCTTATCTACTCTGACTACGGCATTCTACATTCTCAAGTCTAGGCATCTGGGAAAATGGTATGTTTTCTCGGGGAGTTTTTCAGAAGTTAGATAATAAATTTTCCTGGCAATTTAGCTCATGTAGATGATATATGAAGGCTGATGTATTAGGTCTCTCTGACTGCAGAAGACATCCAATTACCTAGGGAAGAAATGGGAAAGGTTACCACTAGTACCTAAGCATCCCCCTTTGAGCCCCATGGAGACTTCTGCTTCTAAAAGGAGCCAGAGCCCAGTGTGGAAGAGGAAGAATGGGGAACATTTTCCTCCCATGAGCATGAGTTTCTTGAAGATTTTCTCTCTCAGTGCACCCTTTTCTTTCAAACTCTTACAACATAGCTAAATCCAAGAAAGCCTTCAAGAACAAAGTAGGTACCACAGACAATGTTTGCAGGTGTATTAAGTTAGTCGCTGAGGTAAAGTAAAAATGATGGCCATTTTGAAGAGCTGCAAAAATATACAGCAAGTATGATGTGATTGATACTCACTGAGTGTCCAGGCAATAAAACGGCAGATAAAATCTGGTAGAGATTATCATAAAGTGATATATATGGGAAGAAACAATTTCACCTTAACATATACAGCAGTGTACCCAGAATAATGATTATCATTACAGTCTGAAATCATGTCATATAAATAGATAGTTCTATGAAAATACCACCTCAGTGTTGAACAGCTGTCAAAGCAGACAGAAAGTTAGGAATTATTAGGAAAGAATAGAGAAACAAAAAAAGGAAAACATTACTATGCCACCATAAAATAAATTTAAGATGTTTCCACATCTTGAATACAATGTGCAGTTCTCTTCATCCATCTCAGAAATTATATAATAAATCAAGGGAATAGAAACAACAAAAATGCAAAGTATCACACAGGTTCAATATGAGAAAATGGAAAACTCATTCTGAAAACAGCTGATCTAGATGAAAAAGATAAAGGTTTATAAAATCCTGTGTAGTATAGAGATAGGAAATAGGGAATGATTTTTCACTGTCTTTTTCAATAGAAGCAACATCAAATTAAACAAGCAAGTAACAGATTCAAAATAAACAAAAGAAGTACCTTTGCATGCATACATAATTAACCTGTGAAACTCCCTAAATGTTGTGGATAGTAAAAATTCACATAAATCAAAAATGGCTTGGACAAACTCATGGAAGCAAAATCTGTTTCAGACTTTTAATGTAAATGCACCTCCTCTAGCTTGGTTAGCTCCTGAGCCAGCATTTACCGAGGGAGTACTCCAGGAGTTGTCACTAAAATGCTTCCTAATAGTCACTGCTTTGGTTTTTAACCTGGTTTGACTTTTGTTGGCAGCAGAAGAGACAGAGAGCACAGTTTTATTTACAGTGGAAGATGCTATTGACATATTTTAGACATAAAAACACCTCCCGCAATAGAGACATGAGAACTGAGATGGATGATCTCAGCAAATTTTCTCAAAAATGGAACAAGCTGAGTAAAAAGACTAGCTCCTGATACTCCAGAAGAGGGCATATCTTTTTTCTACAGAAGACACATTTGCTGACAATATCCGAATCTTGAAGATGCAGATCCAACAGACTATTCTATTAATCATATTTTTTAAAAAATTTGATAATAAGCCTTTATTTTTTAACATCTATTATGCCATGAATTAATGAGGAATTGTCTCCAGCAGTTCTGGCTCTTTGCTGCTGGTCCTAACAAAGTACGCTTCTCTGAGGGGTGCAGGCAAGCATTTCATTTGAACACGAATGCTTATTTCTTGTGCTTCCTTTTGTTCACCTTCATGAGCTACAGGAAACTGTGAGCTCATCGAGTACTTAATGCACATTTGGCACCTGTGTTTAGAGCTAAGGGGGTTTTTGGTTTGGCCAAGTACAGTTGTTCCAACAGTCTTATTTAAGTGCTCTGCTACATGATAGGGTCCACAGTCTTGAATTAAAGGATTTGCTTCTCATGCAATTCCTCTCCAACTTAGACAAACCTAGTAAGCTCATGTAATTTTTGAAGGGAGTATAGATCAAGCCGTAGGTTTAAGAATCCTGCCTACTTGAAGTCCACTTGAGCCCTCTTCGGTGGTACCTGAACCTGAAGGAACATCAAAGTACTCCTTACCTTCTCTGTTCCTATTTGCCATGCAGTTTCAGTAATTTCAGCCCAGCTGGTCAAGCACTCTTGTGAGACATGGAAGATATGAAAGGCACCATGAAGATATCAAGCCACATCAGGCTGAGAAGGGAGGCGAGCACAAGGCTCCAAATTACTTGGTAGCTATTGTAACCCCTAGGATATTAAGTGGATGGGGAGTATTAGCCATTCAAAATAGTATCTATGACTGCATTTTAGGAGGACTGAAACCTGTAGGTTTGACTGGACTCAGAAGTCCCAAGCAGGAGAATGACTCATTGCTAAACTCTCAGACTTCCCCTGACCATTCCCAGGTACAGACAGAAGTAGTTCTGGGAGAGGCCAGAAACCATGCTGTGCCCTTTTCTGGTGCAATGGGGAGCTTTTGCAAGTTTAGGCAAAAGCTTTATGTGGGAGGGTGAAGTCAGACTGCAGGTTAAGACCTTGGCCTCCCTCAATTCATGTCTGCTTTTGACGATGAGCCTTTGATTAGATGAAGTCCTCGATCATTTTATCATTTTAATAATGAGAATTATAAAGCAAAGATTAGGGAAAAAAATAAATATACATCTCTCAGGGGAAGATATGTGGCCAGCCTCTAGACACGTTCTTAGCAGGGCACTGTTCTTTTAACAAAAGAGGTGTTTCTGCTCCTTGTGGGAAATGCAGTTCCTGGTAGAGTCAAGGACTGCAAAGTGAAGCACACCTTCTTTAGGGAGCATAAAAAATACCATCTTCAAGACCCAAGGTATGCAGAGAGAAGCAGGGATTCAGATCCTGTGTCTGCAGAGGGCCTCACTGAGTGAGACTAGCAGAAGTGAAGAGATCGCCTGTGCAGTTTCCATGGTAAAATCATGGCTTGTTTATTTGTCAGATGAGCATTGATATACTTTCCATTTGTACTGCCTTTCCTATAATCTGCCTGTCCTCACCTGCTAAGAAGATATTTGGAAAAAATCCCATCTATAGAGGCCATAGCCTCTATGCTGAAGAAGTGAACAAAAGAAAGGACGTTGTCCTTAATGGAAGTTAGAAATGATTGAATATTATCAGCTGTAAGGGTTATTACCTCTTTGTCTTCCCACTTCAGTATGGCCAGATGCCTAGCATAGCTTTTCTTCAAAGTTTAGAAGTTTAACTAAAATGCTTAGGACTGTAAAAATATGTGGAACACAATATCTATGTGAAGTCATAGGTATGGAACATATGGATGCTTTATAATACTTGAATGTGACAACCTAACCCAACAATACCCACCGAAACAAAACTGCATAGTTGGACTTTTTGGAAAAGTTTATTTCTTTACATTTGCAATGCTGCACATTATGCTCTTGGTCCTGTTGACAAAGCAATATCATGATCAAGTAAAAACAGACAGCAAGGGGCTTAAATCAGTCACCACTAGGTGTTTCCTATACTACTGTAAAATAACAAATGTCGCCAACATAAACAAATTAAAAACGGGTAGTATTTTAAAAAGATAGATATCAACATTACTGTAGTATTATTGACATTAAACTCGAAAAATACTAAAAGCTTGGCATTAGCAGATACTGTAATACAAATGAATTACAATTATCCCCTCATACAAAACCCAGGCTGGATACCAAACCATGCCCTAACTGCCAAGTATAGGTTATATCTTCCCTACCTCTGGATTCCTCAGCTTACTGATTGTCACCTGGTGGGTCAGTCACGGGAGGGACCCAGCACAACTGTGAAGTGGAAGTCAGCCCCTGCATTCCTAGTGAGCTAGATCTTAGCTATACCTTCTGGCAACGTTTTTACAATTCTCTATAATTACTTTTTTCATTGCTTCTACAAAATACATTATGAACCAGGTGCTTCTCTGTTTTGAAATGTTTGTGTAAGTAGCTTTACACTCATTTGTCAAATAAATTAACCTGGCACATTCCTTAATACCTTTATTTTTTCTAACTAATTGTAAATCATTCATGCTCAGTCAAATGTAATCCTTAATGCTCTGCTGGACTTTAATCAAATAATGAAACTAGTGATACAGAAACTACAATAGGATTTTAAATCACTACAGATTCTTTGGATAACATTACAAATGCTGTCTTGTCACATGCCCAAAGATTGCACTTACCAAATGTCTTCTTGCTGACCGAGGTGGGTTATATCTGGCTGGACACCAGATGCCCACAGAAGTCTTTCTATCACTCCCCTCCTCACCTGGGCAGGGGAGAAAAAATAAAATTAAAGGCTCCTGGGTCAAGATAAGGACAAGGGAGATCACTCAGCAATTACTGGTCATGGGAAAAACAGACTCTGCCTAGGGAAACGAATTTAATTTATTGCCAATCAAATCAGAGGAGTATAATGAGAAATAGGAACAAATCTAAAAACCACCTTCCTTCCACTTCTCCATCTTCCCTGGCTCACCTTCACTCTCAAATTCTACACCTCCTCACCTCCACCAGTGCAGGGGGATGGGCAATGGGGGTTGTGGTCAGTTCATCACATGCTTCTGCCTGTCCTTCCTCCTCAGAGGGAGGATTCCTCACACTCTTCCCCTGCCCAGTGTGAAGTCTCTCCCACAGGAGACAGTCCTTCATGAACTTCTCCAACGTGGCTTCTCCCCAGAGGCTGCAGTTCTTCACAGCTCCTGTGTGGTCCCTTCCAGGGACAGATTGCCCCAGCATGGGTCCTCTATAGGGCCAGCAAACCTGCTCCAGCATGGGTTACTCTCTCCATGAGGCCACAAGGTCCTGCTAGGAGCATGTTCCAGCATGGGCTTCCCAAAGGGTCACAGCCTCCTTCAGGCATTCCCCTGCTCTGTTTTGAGTTCTTCTGTGGGATATCTGCTCCATAGTGGGTATTTGCTCCACTGTGGACCTCTGTGGGCTGCAGGGGGACAGCCTGCCTCACTGTGGTCTTCACAATGGGCTGCAGAGGAATCACTTCTCCAGCACCTGGGAAATGTAAGAAGTCACAGGAAAGCTAAAACTCAAGAGTGAAATTAGTTAAGGGACAAGTGCCCTCACTGCAGAATAGTAAGTAAATAGTATTTGCAAATACATGCAAGTCCATTCCTAAGACACAAAACAATACACATAACATAGCATGTTATGCCTTAATAACTTCAGTCCTTTCTGAGTGTTTTTGCTTTTCATTCCAGCCCCTCTTGCCTGTCCAGCTTTTCTCGTGCAACTACTTTACAAACTTAAGAAACGTATCTTTGCAACATTCCCTACAACAATGTATTTGCAGACAAAATGGAACAGCCAGTAATTGCAAGACTGCTCATGTCCACAGGCAGGTTCTCTGGCAGAAAGTCAAGTCCATTTCAGAGTCTGAACTACAAAGTTCTTTTGTGTACCTAGAAAGGGTCTTTTTTAATTATTGTTTTCCATTTACACTTGTGCTGGTTTAAAAGTTAACCAGCAAGGGAAAATGAACTCAATTCAAAAGAGAGATTTATAAGTCAGAATAACAATTTATTAAAATAATGCAATAAGTACAATTATACAGACAGACAATTGGTTTTAACCCACAAAACCCAAATGTATAAACCAGCACCCTAGGGTATGAACAAGAGTGGTGTACCTTGGCCCACCCCCCGAGTCCAAAGCAAAGGGAGAGGGAATAAACCTGCTGGTGGGAGAGCTGCTGCAGTCTGGTCAGAAGTGGTGATTGCAGTCCAGTCGAGGGTGGTGGTCTCAGTCTAGTTGAAGGCAGTGGTCTGGAGTCTTCCTCTGGATCCCACGAGAGAGCCTCAAGGCTCTGAAACTCCCAGTTATATACTCTCCAGTTCAGGCGGGAGTGCTCAGTCCCTCCCTCAGAGTAGGGAATTCCATAAAAGGGCATGCGGATGCTCAGTCCCTCTTCCATATAAGGGTATCAGAGCGGGGAATTCCATATAAGGATATCAGAGCAGGGAATTCCATAAAAGGGTACAGGAACATCTTCCCACCTTGCAGGCCTCTACTGACAGCAGTTTTTGGGAAATGGCATGGAGGCTATAGAATACACAGTTTTGGGTTACACTCATCCAGGGATGAATTGGTCCCAGCCGTTCTAACCAGGACAACACTGAAAACAAATTCGCGAGTTTCCATTGGTACCTCAGGGACAAGTATACCATGTAGTGCCACTGCCAAGTGAAGATATTGTTGGTATTCCAACCCTCAGCCTTTTTGTATCAATTCTACATACTGGTATATAGCTCTATGTGGGTCATACAGAGTGTGGATAATTACTTGAGTTAGCAAAAATACAGTGGAAAACAGTTAAATTTAATTAAATTGAGCTGCCGATCTGCTTTACTGTGTTGCCTCCACAAGCAGCTACAGCTACAGAAGTGAGTGACTTGGAGTGGCACCACTGCACATCAAACCATGGCTTTAGGGACTACAATCAGTGGATCTACTACACACGTCTTTACGATCCTTCTTATTTAAGTATATATGTATTAAATAAGTGTGTACTTACAGAAATAGATCACTTCTATATGTTACCAACAGGATGTACAGTTCACTCCCTCTCTTGGGGCATAAGAAAGGTTTGTCTTGTCACAACAGTTTACCAGATGGTGTGGCTGTGGAGAATAAGTTTGTTCTCCTGAGAGCAACAGCAATGCAATGGTGCTGTAGTGAAAGCCACGGTTTTATGGTCATCCTTAAGAAAACTCTTTGAGATCCTGACTCCAGAGGATAACACCTCTTCCTCTTTGCAGCTTGCCTGAAATGGCTCAGGCTTTAGACCTTTACTTCAGTTGGCTGAAGTGAGGCAAGCCTATGTAAGGGGGGTCCTTATATATTAGTGTAAATAATCAAAAATTTTTCCTTTCCTGAAGAACATGCCCCAGTGTATTTGAAATAGTTCACTGTTCTTCTCTCAGTACACCCATTAAACTACTGCTTAAGTCCTAACTCAGAGTTGTACTATCTTCCAAGAAAAGGTTTTTGTTTTATTGGTACACTAGTAATTACATACATGAATCAATTATTTCACTGTTTTTCTATGCAGTCCACATACATCTATGAGCTTAATTATAAAATAATGTAGGATTTATTGGCTATGTTTTTAATATACTGGCTAAATTCCCAGTGCATTATTGCTTGATGAAATAATAGTAAAGTTAAAACATTTGATTTTTGTTATTAATTTAACACAGAAATATACATCTTATCATAATCTTAACACCATTATAGAGCAAAGCAGATGGGATACTGTAAATTGAGCTGACTTCAAGGTACTCCAGTCTAGTGTGATAATCTCTCTCCTGCCAGATAACCAAAGACTAAATTATTTCCTTTATTTAGGACCTATCCTCTGACAGGAGCAAAGAATGAATGATCCTTCTTGGAGCAAAGCTATATATCCTGAAAAGTATTAGACACTGATCTTAGTCCAGTAGCTAAGTATCTAAGGATTTCAATGAGCGAGGGCCAGAGCAATCAGCACCTTGCAGGAGGGAGTTCGTAGTGAAGCAGCCTCTGCAGGAGACGCGATCACTGCTCTTTAGAAACGAGCAGGCTGTTACAGTATGTGGTTAAGAGTGAAAAAAAATAAAAAGCTGAATATAAAAGCAGATTTAAAGTTTTCACTTCATGCAGTTTTTTAATTATATCTTGAATTAAACTTATGGTGCTCAGGAATCTGTATTGCCATTTGAGAAAAGTTATTTTGATATAGCAAACATATTTTTAGAAAATATAGGGAAATTTCATCATGCTATAAATTGGTATGAATACCATCTATAGCAAGGGAGAAGATTGAGAAGCTAAAACTATGAGACATGCTGTACCTTAACCCCAAATGAAATAACAGACCTGTTAAGGAGTCTGGGGTGATTGAAGGGCAAGGGGACTGAGAGCCACTACAAGGCTGGCAAGAGCTGTAGAGCACCCAGTCTTACTAAGACAACTGGAACAACTTTAGGACATAAATAACATATACCATGCCAAAGCTGGTATGAAGACATTAATGTCTGTACTCAGAAAAAACAAGAAAGAAGTAATGTGAAATTTAAAGTTGTAGTATGGAATTAATGAACAAGACATATATACTTCATTCATAGTGTTTTTCATTTATAAAACATGACATAGCTTCTTAAAAATACATTACAGTAGGTTCCATGAAAAAAAATTGTGGCTGGGGAAAAAAATTAGAAACTGAGGCTGTGGCTGGGATAGCACTTCCATTTCATTTCTTCTAAATTTCAATATTAAATTCTATTTTGTACTGTCTCAGGATTGCTTGATTACAAATTACTCTAGAAATCCTTGCCAGGACACAAAAAGTGCTACCCAGTTACTAAAGAAAGTGAGTCACTGGTTTCTGCATTCAGATACATTCAAACAATGTGTCCTTTTAAACTCTAAATGTCTCATTGCATACAACCTTCAGCAACGAATGTGCACTTTGGTGCATATGAAAGGCATAGCTGAGACAACAAGATGTTTGATATACTGCACATGTACATTAGTTTTCCCTGACAATTTATATGCATAGCTGTTGGGTTATCCAAATATAAACTTGCACATAGCTTCAGAGCTTGGAGAGTTCCCACCCTTTTTAAATGCAGGCAACCTTTCTTCTCCATGAATTCCCATTAGGCCTCTATAGTGCACTTGCCAGAAGGCTGAAGCTCAGCAGGTGTGGTCTTTCTGTAAATATTTCCCAGTGGAAGTTTAATGTGAACCTCTCACACATATAAAAATACAATACTTGGAGAAATGTTGCTGTATGAGGACCTCAGATTTAAAACTCAAAGGGGAAGGGGCTATGTCTTTTCGTATACACTAGCTAAGTGTATATGAAAGCTGCTAAATCATTTAAAGGCATCGTTCTAGAAAAGCCCTTGGCTTATTCTGGAAACCACAAGAAATTCAGGCTACTTAACAATCAGCATAATGCTTTACAAAATGAAAGTAAAAAAGCATAGCTACATGTTTCCAGGTAGGTGACATGAAGATTATTCACTTAGTCTTTGCAAAATATTGAAGCTTAAATCTTGTGCAAAGGCTACATGTTATTAAAACATATGCTGTCAGTGCATCTTTGCACTGTCATGCTCATTAGGACACAATAATTACAGTAGTGCTCTTCTGACAGGTAGATTATACTTCTCACACCTTCTGTTAAGGATCCAAACATAACGTGACCTTATGGCTAAAACTGAACATACCAAGATTTGACCTGAGAACCACATACCATTTAAATTGAGATATTATTTAAAGATAAATGAAAATAGACACCTTGTAATATAGGGAAGTTACCCTCCCCCTTTCAGCTGAACAATTTGTCCAAAGGCCTGAGTCTGGACTCACTGCACAGCTGATTCTAAGAACAAACAATTCCTCTGGGGTCTAGAACGCACACTGGATTCTGACTTAGTTGGAATAAATATATTTTCAGCAAGAAAGAAATCAAATTAGCTCAGTTTTGAGGCACACATGATCAGAGAAATAAAAGCAGGTATACAGTATAATTTCATTATGAAAACCTACATTTCAAGTGAAAACCTACAGTCAGTTACAAGAATTACAGAGAAAGATGCTGCCTATTCAGTTATCTATTTTATGAATGCACTATGTGGTCCATTACCTCCTGCCTTCAGCAAAACTCCTTTCCAGTCCACCTAAATTTCACTAATTACTGTTGTATCTACATCACACAGTGAAAAAAAAATAAATTAGGGGGGTCTTGCACTGGAAGCATTTAATTAATTTTTTTTTAAATTAAGGGTTAGTCTAGTAACAAAAGGAAAAAAAGCCTACCACCTTTAGGTGACTGTTTTAGGAGGCAAGATCTGTCATCTTATGATGGAAAAACACTATTTCATGTGATAAAGAATACTGACATTTCTCTCTAACATATGTTAATAGTACCACCTATATCCCTTTTTGGTTTCCTAATGTCCAAATCCACCACCTGCAGTCTGCATTACTAAAGATAAACAGATACT